TTTTTTTTAACCTTATACTCACATAAATTTCGTTTTTTTTAGTATACATCACTTGGTACGTTTTTCTTCATTCTTTTTATTGACATATATGGTAAATGCTTATTTGATCAACTTGCAATTTTTTTTTTCAATTTCAATTATATAACTCAATTTCAAGTATATAACTCAATTTCATTATACAAAATCTGGCTGTCTTTTTTTTTTTTAACCTTATACTCACATAAATTTCGTTTTTTTTAGTATACATCACTTGGTACGTTTTTCTTCATTCTTTTTATTGACATATATGGTAAATGCTTAAGTTGTTTAAGAATATCGTATTTTTTTACGTGATCACATTTAAAAAAAAAATTAAATTAGTGTTGTATTAGAGATATACAGATTAAACAATTTGAATAACAAGGATACAATTCTAATTTATATCTTATTTTCCTCCCAAACAAATTTTTATTTGTTCATAAAGCAAACACATCAAGTAAATCATCTCGGGATTAGTAATGTAAAAATTAATTGTGTTGATATTATTATTTGTATTGGTGTATCAAAGATAATATGTTGCATAATATTTTTTAAAATGCTTGTTTACAAAAATATCTCCTAATTCTTTAGTTTTATACACTTCCAAGAATAATTATATCTTTAATCATTGTTTATGCATGTACTAAAAATCTCTGTATTGTTAATTTCATGATTTGCTATGCATTAATTATTTATAAAATAATAGCAAATAAAGAATACACTTTTAATTATATATACATTGAAATATTATACAAAATAAGGAAAAACTAGTATGTGCATTATTTACTCTAATATATTTTATCAAATGACACATAAAATTAAGCTTGTCAGATATATTCAATTTCAAATTCGGACTCGAAATGTTGAATATATTCGATTCTAAATTTGAATTCGAAATGTTGGATATATTCAATTCTAAATTCGAACTCAAATTGTTGGATATAATCGATTCCAAATCCGGACTTGAAATGTCGGATATATTTGACTCCAACGGACTCAAATTTTCTATATGTGAATCCACACACTCTTCCAAGTGTTGAAAAAACATTTGAAAGAAGAAAAATGCACAAAAAGAGGAAGAAAATAATGGAGAGTAATAGTAGCGTGAAAACCTGAGCGACAGAACTAGAATTTTTCAAACATGGGTGCATCAAGTAAAATGTATTGAAGTGGAAATTGATCCTTAATCCTCAAGGTCAAAAGACCAACATTTAACCATGTGGATCATTTGGACTTCTTGTAGTACGCATGCCAGAATTTAATATTATACAAATTTTAGAAAAAATATATATAAAATATTTAATTTTACTAAGAGACCACAGATGCCAGTGCCCTATTTTTTGCTCTAAATTCGCCACTGGTGCAAACGATGTTCCAAAGATGAGCGTAGCTTGAAGAATTAGAGAAGAAAATAAATTAGGTACTTCCGATGTTGTAAATTTATAAAAATGGGATGAGTTTTGAAGATTTTGGGCTATGAATCTTAATTCCAATGTTTTATTATATTGTCAAGGCGTCAATAAACCTTGTGCAAGTTATGTGCATATTAGTTTTCTTATAATGTCAATTAAATTTTGCTTTTATTATTTTTCTTAATCAGCAAAATATTATCTTATTTTATACAATAATTTTATATTACAATTATTTGATATTATCCCTATCACCACTCGATCATATCAGCTTACTAACAATTTTTATTTTTATTTTCAATTTCAAGTATAAAAACCAACCTTCATTATGTAAAGTCTTTAAGTGATACATCAGTTGGGACGTTTTTCTTCTTTTATTCACATATAATAATATGATCTCATAGTAAGAGTTTTTTTTTTCATTCATGTTTTATATATTCTTAATATTAATCACTTGTTTTTTAAAATGTAATATTTTATATTAATTAATATGTAAGTTATGGTAAAATAATCATATTATTTGCTAATTTAAAAAATGTGTTAAATTTAAAATGGACAAATAAAAATGAACGGAGAAAATATTTAAAAAAACATATGTGAATCAACACTATATGAATCTCTTTTCGTCACATAAAATTAAGCCTAAATCATTCGAGTCGGATATATTCAATTCTAAATTCAGACTCAAAATGTAAAATAAAATCAATTTCAAATTCGGACTAGAAATTTCTTCATGCGAATCCACACGCTCTTTCAAGTGTTGGAAAAACATTTCAAAGAAGAAAAATAAAAAGATAATGGGGAGTAATAATAGCGTTTAAGCGTAGAGCTAAATATAAATATTTATTGTTTTCGAGGAGTAGATCAATCTAAAACGATAAAAGTATACCACGAATATCACACTTTATCATACATAAGGTGAATAGTGCAAACCATGTTCCCAAAAAATGAGCGTAGCTTCACAAATTTGAGAAAAGAAATTGGGGATTGTCGATGTTATAAATTTATAAAAATGGGATGAGTTTTGAAGATTTATTATTATGAATTGTAATTGCAGTGTTTTTTAAAACTGTTAAGACCCCAATTTTTTCAAGTATAAAACTCAATTTCACTATATAAAAAAAGGCTGATTTTTTTCCTTACCCGTATATAATTCGTTTGAGTAATAAATGCATAAGTTATTTAAGAATACATCACATAATAGCACAACATTTATACATCACTTGGCACGTTTTTCATTAAATAAACTTTTAGTCTCATTAAATCAAATTATTATAATTTTAACATGATCATATGGATTTTTAAAAATAAATAAATAGTGTTGTATTAGAGATATATAGATTAAAACAATTTGAATAACAAGGATACAATCCTAATTCATATATCTTGTTTCTCCTCCCAAACGATTATTTATTTTATTCACAACGCAAATGCATTAAGTAAATCATGCCGGAATTAGCACATATGAATTAATTATGCTGATATTATTGTTTATTTATTATATGAGTTAGTGTGTTGAAAATAATATGTATATGTTGTATACTGTTTTTAATATTGTTTATATACAAAAAAATATCCTCCTAATTCTCTAGTTTTATACACTTTTTAAGAATAAGTGTGTTTTTAATCATTCATATGAATGTGTTAAAACCCCTTATATTGCTAATTTCATTATTTGTTATGCATTAGTTCTACACAAAATAATATCAAAATATAATATAGTATAATATAATTATATATATGTTGAAAAATTACGTCAAACAAGAAAAAATTAATATATGCATAATTTTTCTCTAATACAAGTCTATCAAACAACCCCTCAGAGATCAACAATGACTATGGTGAGATACACAAAAACTCTTTATCCTAAAGATCTCAAATTCAAATTTGAGGTATAATTTTGTTTTACTAGAGAGCATTTTCATTTTAAATGATATTCTCTTTATTCTAATTTATGTGATAAAAATTAAAAAATTTGAGAATCAAATCATTTAGTTTTAACCGTAATTTATGCATAGAATCTTTAAATTTTATGAAATAAAATATATACAATTGAAAACTACGTAAAAAGCATTATAAATCACAATAATTGATTATTTAAAATATTTATAAAAATATCATATTAAAAAAAACTTATTTTAATCTCAAAATCTAAAAGTATTAAAACAAAAAAAATAAATATATAACATAACTTTAAATTAAGTAAACTTTAAGCTAGCGTTTGACCGTAGATTTCCAAATGTTTTTGGCAAATATTATTTGGGTGAAAATTTAGGTGAAATTTCACCATGTGTTTGGCCATACTATTTGGGAAATATATTTCACATTTTTAAGAAATATGAATCATATCCTAAAGTTTTAAAAACTATCAAAACTAACCATGTGTGTATTACATAACACATGACTTTGTTACCCTAAGCGGATTGTTATCATTTTCATTAATAACCATATTATCGCTTTCATATTTATTGAATATTCTATCACTATTTTGATGTTCATGTAAAAAATTATGTAAAACAACACAAACAACAACTATAAAAAGTGTTTTTGTAAAAGATAAAAATTTGATGTAGAATTTGAATTATTAAAAGTTCCCAAATAATGAGATTTGGCTCAAATACTAATTTTTTCTAGTATTTGGAAATTTGGGTTATTTGCCAATTAATGACAAATTATATGCCAATTTTTTCTCCAGATTTTATTTGGGAAATCTATGACCAAACGTAGAAGAAGAAGAAAGCCCAATAGAGTACTCAAGAGTGATATATAACCATCAAAGAATGTGTTGTAATAATGAAACTGTTTTTTTTTTTATCAAATATCTTGTTAAAAAGTACTTTTTGGTAAATAAAAGCTTATTGAATTAATCGAGTTTCAATATGAATAAGAGAAAAAGAAAAAAGAAAAAAGAAGAGTGATACAAGGGAGAAAGGTAGTGGTAATTAACCATAGAGTAAAGAGATAAAAAGGTGGGTAAGTGATGGTAGTAGATATCACGAAATTCTTCTGAAGGTTGTTTGTCTGATGGAGTCTGCTATTTGGCTTTAATGCTGTAAGAAAACTGACCAAATGTCAGAACAAATTCTGACCACTTACTTTAATTACTTACATGTTCATATTCACAGACAAAAGCTAGTAGGAAAAATGAAATGGCAGCTGACACTTCCATGCCGCTAATCACTGTGACCTAACTTCTTTTGTTTTCTTCATTGCTTCACTGCCGTGTTCTTCTTCAATTATATTCCTTCCTCTCTCTCTCTCTTTTTTTTGTCGTTTTAATAGTACTAATCTCTAAATTACCTAGTATTTTTTTTTTGCTATATTAGTAAGTATTCCTTCACTTTTTATAGCTACTTTGTTAATATTGAACTTATTTAAACGAATTTATAACTTATGACTTATTTTAAACAAGACTCATATGTGGTGTGTGAGTCAACATGTCCTATAACAGAAAATGAGGAATTAGTTTTTTTTTTTGGTATAGTTTTGAAATATTTAATTAATCTTATATAATATAAATTTGAAAATTTACTCAAATTAATTCTGAATAAGTGATACATATCATATAAATTGAACAAAGGAAGTAGCTTTTTTGTTTTCTTCTCTCTTACTGTGCTCATCAGTTTTTGCTGTGATGCATCTTTGGCAAGTGTCAGCAATATCAGCTGTAGTCTCAGAAGCAGAACCACTCTCTAATTTCTGTATAGTAAATTCTGGGTTGGTTTAGTTGCAGGTTTTGCTTTTTTCCTTTTCCTTCCATGTGAAGTCAAGAAATGCAGCTTCATCTATTCTCTGCCACCCCTCTTTCTCTCTCAGGTCTTTACCCTTCTTCTCTCTGTTTATTGTTACCTTCATATGTTTATGTTTATGTGTCAAAGATTGGATTTTTTTTATGTGGGGTTTGTGTTACTGATGAAATTATGCTTATTTTGATGAAGGAAAAGGAAAAGAGGATGAAATAAAGAAGAAAGAAGGGTCACCACCTTGCATAGAGCTGTCTTTAGGCTATGGAAGTTCAAGCCATGTTGTTGAGGAAGATGAAAAAGATGCCAAATCCTCTAACTCTCTGTTCACAGCAGCTCAGTTTCAAGAACTTCAACTCCAAGCTGTGATTTTTAAGTATTTAGTTTCTGGTCTTCCAGTTCCTTTTCATCTGTTTTTCATCATTTGGAATAGTGTTTCAAGCTCCTTGGGTGACGGTGGAATCTACAAACTATATCCTACCTGTAAAGTTCCTATTCTTTGGCTTTAATTTGTCTTTTTTTAGTTTTGTGTTTGTTGAATTCCATCAAGAACAATTGCAAAATATTCAAGAATGTGTTTTTTTTTTTTGCTTGAACTTTTGGAAAATTGTTGGATGATTCTCCTTTTGTATTCAGTAGGTCTAATAGGGGGAAGTGGAACTGTGGTGTTTGTTTCTGGATACTTTTAACTTTTTTATTTTTGAATTACAGAGTTGAAAAGCCTATTGATAAGAATGCTAAGATCTCAAGAACATTGAACCGACTTTATGCTATTGGAAATGAGTTTTTTGGTTTCTGAAACTTGGTACATTGGATGAAGTTCAGTTGCTGGAAAAGATTTGCTTTTGTTTTTCTTTGAGTTGATATTCTGACTCTGTTATGCTTTTGGATTCTGTTCTTTTTCGAATTTTGGCTCTTTTCCTTTACCTTGATATGATAATATTCTGAAGTCTACAATGCTTTTTGATTCTCTTGTTAGATTGACTCTACTGTTTTATTGCCTATACTGTGAGATGCATATTTTTGGTGGTCATTATGCATTTAAGTGTTGTTTTATGATAAAACATTTGCCCTGTATTTGATTAGATTGGTCCTTGGACAATCATGTTCATTCGTTCCGCCATCTTTCCTCGGAACAGTGCGAAAGCGTTATTTATTACGGTCATTCCTACTATATGAGTCTAAGAGCTCTAAATTTTAGAAACTCAGTAGCCTATAGGCTTACTTGTGCTTTTATCATCTAAAAGTCTTTACATCATACTTGGTTTGATGTGGGGAATGCATATCTGGTGCTGAATAGTCTTTGATAGGTAAGGGATAGAGTAAGTGTTTAATCCATGTTATACTCATTTGCACAATGAAGAGCTTGGCTATGTGAATACTTAGGTTCTTTGAAGCATGTTGTAATGCTTTAATGTTTAATAATATGGCTTCTGGTTGCAGTGGGGAGATTTGATTATACGAGCATGACAGATCCTGAACCAGGAAGGTGTAGAAGAACTGATGGGAAGAAATGGAGGTGCAAAAGGGATGTGATTCCAGGTCAGAAGTACTGTGGGCAGCATGTGCATCGAGGTCGACGTTCAAGAAAGCCTGTGGAAGCTTCTGAACATGTTATGAGATCAGACGATACAAATATCATTTCCAAGATAACTAAACTGTATGCCAGTTCCGATGACCCTGGCAGCAAATGTGCTCCTGCAAGTAGTAAAACATCCTGTTTGTCTTCTACTAGCAGAAGTAACCAATACAACAGCATCGAGGACTCATCTGTTAAACCAAGATTCATCAATTCTGGCAACGGCAGTGAGAAGCAAGACAACTACATGATTTGCAATAGAAAGGACATCACAACGTCCGTAAGAACCCCATCTTTCATTTCTGGTGACAATGCTGACAGTAAGAACATTGATTTCAATCGTATTAGTCCCAGCAAAACCAACCAAAAACAGAATTGCGGAGAAGCTAGGAAGCATGGTGCTTTGGTACCAATTTTTGGTCTATCTACAAAGAGTGACCTGCAACACTCTATAGGTAAACCACCGATTCCAATATGTTATATTCAAGGAACTTCTTTCCATCTTCATTTTAACTTGTCTTTCATCGGTTTAAGAACTGTAAAAGTAGCATGCCTTTCCAGGAAAATTATCTTGCAGTGGATTATTTAAAAATTCTTCTGAGCAGTGCCTAATAGTGGGTGCTTCATGAAACTATTAGATGAATCAGGATTGTATGTCTCCTTTTATTAATTTGCTTGGGTTTGTGCAATACTAAATAATTTCTTGCCTCATATTTGATAGTAATCGATAACGTTTTTTATTTTAGTCCTCTGCATTGGCTAGATTTTGTTGGGTGCCTAACCTGATGATCTATTTGTAGTTTTTAAATTCCTTCTGCATAAAGCTGTGACAGAGGAAGGAGAAGTTAGTTTCTTTTATTAGCTCAGCAACCTTGATGATTGTTGAGAATAGCTCATGCTTAACGGTTAATCCTTTTTTTGTTGTAACACAGGCTCAGAAGCTGACCAACAGAGGTGCCGAAGATCAGATGGAAAGAAATGGAGATGCAGCAAGACTGTTGTTCCTTGTCAAAAGTACTGTGAGACTCACATGCACAGGGGAGCCAACAGAAAAAGGGTAGCCTCTGTCTCGGTTGTTGTTCCACCTTCTAAACCTCCTTCATACAGGTTTTGCCCACCCGAAAATGATGGTACTCGAAGAAACTTGAACACCAGTCTCTCCATTTACACAATCCCAGGGCGCCAAAACATTACAGATGATGAATCTAACAGTAACAGTATTAGTGATGCCACCACTATCACCGATGAAATACCAGCATTTGTGTCGCATTAGTAGATAATCGCGGAAACTTTGTGTTGTTGGTGTTCTTTTTGGCAAGATGTGTGAACTTAGAGAGTACTTGAGAAATGTCCATCAAGGTGATTTTGTGGCCATGTACAAGTCCTTAGCTAGTTTGTAAATCTTTTAGGATTGAAAATTCTGTTTTGTAATAGGTTTTGATGAGATGATAGACATGTACTTTTTCCTACTATATCTCTGGCCTAATTGATGACTATTTTTGTTACAAGAAAGTGCTTGCTAAATGATTTTAAACAAAAAAAAGTTGAAAGGAATCAGAGTCTACCTTGTTTGGATGGTTGTTACTCGTTGTATTGTATTGTATTCAATTGTTAGCTTAAATACAATTATTTGTTTCGATTGTTACTTAGATTCTATTGTATCGTATCATCTAAATTCATCGTTAGGTAATGATGAAAAGATCATTTTATGTAATGACTGATTTTGTGTGATCGCGTCGTTACCTTAATATTTTCTTCTTATTTTGTTTTTATATTATTTCATTATCAGATTTCATCTTTTATCATATCTTTTCATAGTAACTCTACCTCGTACCCAATTTTTTTTTGTAGGTTTATCATTCAAATTCTAAACGTGTGACATTATGTAACGACAAAGAACCTTACTTTTCTTGTAAGTTTATCATTCAAATTATAGACTTGTGACATTATGTAACGACGGAAAACCCTACTTTTCTTATAGTTTTATCATTCAAATTATGGAGTGTGACATTATATAACGATTAAGAACGATACAATCCATTCAAACACTGTATTCATTAAAATAATACAATACGATACAATAAAACACAATACAATATATTATAAAACAATACATAACAACCATCCAAACAATAAAGCCATCAATATATTGGTTTTGAATTTTATCTCCTTCTAAGTCCTCCCATTAATATGTTTTGTTACTGATAATTGCTTTGCAGGTGATCATGTGGATGCTTATGGCAGGGAATTAGGAATAGAGAGAAGAAAGTATTTTAATTTTGCACTATAATTAACAACACTGTATATATCTTCAACTAATTAATTTGATGCTAATTTCCTCCACAACCACCACACGCCTCAATGATGATGACCACCGTGATAGTGGTGACCGCCACCTCCACCTCCACCTCCACCTCCACCTCCGTGATGGTGGTGGTTGCCTCCGTGATGATGACGGTGGCCTTCTCCTCCTCCTCCGGCAGTAGTAGGGTAATAAGTAGTACTATCGAGAGTAGTCCTTCCTAAATTAAACAGATCATAATCGTCTTTCTTCTCTTTTGTGCTGCAATACTTTTTGCTAAAACACAATCCCATGACAATTAATAGTATAAGGTACGTACAATGAAGAATAATTGTACTGTGATCTAAAAGTCAAGTAGAAAAAGTGGCTTATGATATTATGAAAAATCTTATAGAATGACAAAGATTATATAGAGCTAATCAAGGTCCAAAATCTAGTAATCTTGGGATTATATTATTATTATCCCACTTTGTGTTGGGTTGGGTTTAATTTTAAATTTTAATTCTTACTATAATTGGTTACAATTCACGAGACTATGACTATGGTCAATTTCGGGACGCCCTAAAGTAAATTAAGGCCCTCCAAATATTAAAGGCTACAAAAATATGAAGTATCCTAGTATTTAGGAAAATTAGGTAATTACACGATTTAAAAAAATAAGATAAAATTTACCATTTAGATTACGGTAAAGGGCCAAATATATCCCTATACTGTAGGAATAGTTTAAATATACCTCCTAGTTATACTTTCGAACTAAATATACCCCCCGTTATACTTTCGGGCTAATTATACCCTTATGACTAACATAGGACACATGGACAACTAGAATTAAAAGAATTATTCAATTTAAAATTAATCAAATTTAGATATTACCCTCCCCGCCCCAATAATTTAAGGGAAAATTGTATGAAATAGCAAATTATTAATTCAAATTAAATGTTATAGTCATAGTTTATTTATTTGTAATTCGCAGCAAACATCCCCTTTTTTTGCCATCTGGTTCGGTATACGATTAGCTATTTTCGGTATACAATTACCCATTCGGTATACAAATGTATAAAATGCGTTTGTGTTTGTATAAAGCGAGAGAAAAAGTGTATATACAAATACAAATACATATATTTTCGTCCTATACACTTATAATTATACAAATACAAATCTTATTATACAAATTACAATGTATAAATAAAATTTTATACAAAACTGAACAATTTGTATAAAATTGGATGTATCTAACGAATTATACAAATCAAAAGCTCCATAGCAAACATAAAATTTGTTATGGAGCGCAATTATGTAAACTATAGCTATAACATACAAATATGATTTTTATGTTAGTTATATGTGAATTTGACCTAATCTATAACATTGACCCAACCAATTTATCTTTCAAACATAAAAAAGCCCTAACAGGCATCCTCTTTTCTGTTCAGCAAACGAATGGAACATTGCAACTAGGTGCAATTAATGTTTATATTAAAATAGTGTGCATTCAACATTGTCATCAAAGGTGTCGTGGTGTAGTTGGTTATCACGTCAGTCTAACACACTGAAGGTCTCCGGTTCGAGTCCGGGCGACGCCATCTTATATTTTTTGTTTTCAGAACTTTCACAGTGTTCAATAAAATACTAACAAATTTTATTAAATTGAATATTTTAATTATTTAGTAAAAAATATGGTACTAATTACTACTGCAGTAATGTAATATCTCAGGGAATATGACACATAGAAACTTTTTGCATTGTTAAATCAAAAACTAACTTAAAAAGACAGTAAACTAAACTTATATGATAAAGAAAAAACTTTGAAATATATGATTTCTTCCCTTTCAAATATTTAAACACCGGTTTTACTTTTATATAAAGTAGCCAATAGTCATATAAATTTATTTATATTTTTTGTCTGTGTGCGCGCAAGCAATATACTACTAGTTAGTATTGCATGTAGGTTATAATTTAGATAACCAAACAGTTAAGAATTCACATCTTCATTGATAAAAAGGGAAATTAATGTATTCCACGTAAAATTATCACTACAAGAGATGACATAATTAAGAAAAATACCACTAAAATTAATTAGAATTAAACAAATTAAAAAGGACACTAAAATCCATGCCCAAGAAAAAAGGTTACAGGCATGATATGGTCCTTATTTGCACTATGATAATATATACCACTGGTACTATTTCTCATATCCAATATTGTTGCAATGAATATTTACAAAGAAATCGAAATTGGGACTAAATTGGTCCTAGCATCCTCCTCCACAACCACCACCACCACAACCACCACCACCACCGCAACCACCACCACTGTCACCACCGCAACCACCACCACCTCCTCCACAACCATCACCACCACCACCTCCACCACCACAACCACCGCCTCCAGTAGCCGCTAGAGCGTATATATAAGCCACACTTCCACTACTACAAGTTGTGCTATCCCGTGTTGTTCTAGTACCATAAACATAATTATTTTTCTTCTTTGTCTTCTCTACGTTATTTTTGGAGGCAGAGTTTTTGCTAAAACACAATCCCATGACAATTGAAGAAGGAACAAAAGGGGATGATGATGATATTATAATCTTTTTAATTTTGTGTAGACAAATCTTGGTATATATATATATATAAGGTCGACAACGTATTCTCCTTCAACAGAAATATAATTATGTTAGGATTCTACATGCGCGATCCACTTGCTATTAATATTATTATCCTCCTTGGTAATTCGGACGTTTCAAATTCTTCTAAATATTACTCACTCCTTCTCCGTGTCACTTTAGTTGAAAAAAAATATTGTTACATTGTTTGACTTGCCGTTGGTAGGTCAAAAATATTTATTCTGACGAACACATTTTAAAAAAAAATTAAGGTGTTTGGCTAACATATAAAACTGTTTTTAATTGGAAGCAAAAATAATTTTTATGCTGTTAGGAAGAAGTTAAAAATTTCTACTTCTTTTAAAAAGCAGAAGTAGAAGCAGAAAATTATTTCTCATGTTTACCAATATATTCATTATATTTATTCTGGTGAATTTTCATATGTAGTGATTTTAATTTGTGGAATGATTTTTAAATTTATTTTGCTTGATGTTTTAAATTATATTATGTTAATATTATACTAATAATTAATTTATTTTTTATTTTATCTAGTTATAATATTGATTCAAAATTTAAATATGTACATATTAATTTAATAAAATTGAAATAGTAGTTCTAGACTTTATAGTAGATATTTAAAAGAATGATTTCTTTATAAATAATCTAAATATTAAAAGTGAATTGATACTTGTTCTTTTTCATAATTTCTCTCAAAAACACTTTTTAAAATGATTAGCCAAACACAATCTACTTATCAAATACTTTCAAATGAATTAATCAAACACAATTTTTTTTCAAACGCACTTTTTTGAAAAGCCATTTAAAAAAAATGCTTCTAAAAATAAGTTGTTTGTAGCAATAATGTCGAATATGCTCTTAGTATCATCATAAAATTAGGACAAAATTTATGTGTTTTTTCAATCATATTTCCTCTTTTAAATTTTAAGAAACATTTATTTGATAAGAACTGTTTAATAAATTAGATAACACTTACTCCCTCTGTCTAAAAATACTTGTTCAATATACTAAAAATAAATGTCTAATAATACTTGTCCATTTTATGAAATTCATGGATCATTTTACACTTAGTTCCTAATTTACGCTTATCGTTAATTATAGTCATTTCCTATTACATATTTCAAAACATTATATTTACTACTTCCTCTGTCCACTTTTAATTGTCATGTTGAGCTTTTTGAAAGTGAATTTGACTAATTTTCAAAGTTAAATTAGATTGCATTAATTCAATATTTTAAACAAAAAAATTAGATATTCAAAAACTATACGAAAAGTACTATAAATTGCAATTTTTTGCATATCAATATGATGAAAAAATACATCGTAAAATGTTAGTCAAAGTTCTTAAAGTTTGACTTTAAAAAAGGAAACCATGACAAATAAAAGTGGACGGAGGGAGTATATTCAAAGGGTGATAGAGTAAAATTACCCTTCTATTTATAGTTTCTTAAGGGGTGAGCCAAGTCAATAGTGGACAACTATTAAAGGACAGAGGGAGTACTCCATCCGTCCACTTTTAATTGTCATGGTTTCCTTTTTAGAGTCAAACTATAAAAACTTTGACTAACATTTTACGATATATTTTTTTCATCATATTGATATGCAAGAAATTGCAATTTTATAGTACTTTTCGTATAGTTTTTTGAATATCTAAATTTTTTTGTTTAAAATATCGAATTAATGTAATCTAATTTAACTTTGAAAATTAGTCAAATTGACTTTCGAAAAACGCAACATGATAAATAAAAATGGACGGAAGTAGTACTTTGGAACAAAAATATAGATAAAACACATAAATAACCTCCTAACTTAGTCAGATAACTTACTTTAGTACTTAAACTATACATACGTTTAAATACCATTAAATACTTCAATTTCACTTCAAAAATGTTAAGGAATATTTAAATATCCGTATAGTTTAAGTGTTAAAGTAGTTATCCGACCAACTTCAGCGATTTTTTATGTGTTTTCTCCAAAAATATACTAATGGAAATTTAATAATGAATATTCGATTAAAACACCAGATTTTTTTAAAGCATTTAATATTTCAAGAGGGTGGGTTAGGCGTTTTGGCATTAATTCTTTTAGTGCCATATTTGGTTGATTATTCCTTTTCTTTAATTAAAATTTAAAAGCAATAGTATATTAATTTTACATATTTATGTGTCAAAGGGTAATTATTTATTTATTTATCTTTGTTAATATTTCTTGTTGTAGATATAATTATCGAAGGTCTCGTAGAACAAAAACTTTAGGTAAAATTGTAAAATAAATTATTTCTTCTATGTCAAATTATCAATCACAGTTTTGAAAGTAATTGTTTTAAATTATTTGTTATTTTAGAAATCTAAGACAAAATTACTTATTTTTTCCATTTTATCCTTAGAAGTAATTGTTTTTGATGACTACAAACACCTCAATAGTAGGAGCGAATTTAGGTCGGAGGGGGGGAGAGGGGGGATTGACAAAAAATTATATTATATATATGCAAAATTTGCTGAACACAAAATCAAAAGGCGGCTTAGTGATTTTTAAGAGATTCAAAATTCAATCTTAACGAGATATCAATTCAAAATCAAGTACATTATTATGGACTAATACAATGATTCGCCTTTTAATTATTATGGACGTTATTTAAAGCGTTTTTACTCAATAAAATTTAAAGATTTTTATTTCCTTTTATAGTCATGCTAGGAATGCTGGTAATTACATTTTCCAAACTTTTTTTTAACTAATAGTATAAAAAATTATTATTTTTAGAGGTGAGCATGGAGACAGTTCAAACTACAACTACAACAACAATAAGTTTGATATAATTTCATAAAAAAAGTAGTTAAGAAGGTTCAGAATGAATACAAAAATTTTGATTTGAATTTTAAATCTTTCAAAAAATCCAAACCATAAATTGTTTTTTTTTTTATAGCATTTGACACATATATAAGTTTAAAAAAAATATATTATGGTTAGACACATCTCCAATTTCAATTTTAAAAATTTCAAATAAAGTAATTATTTTTCATGATCAAAGGCCCACCAAAAATTCCCTCAAGAGTTTAGTCTGTTAGCTATGGTCCAAAACAGACCAACTTAATAAACTTTAACGAGTCGTTTGGTGTGAAGTATAAAATATAATAATATGAAATAAGATGTGAGATTATTTTATCCCGTGTTTGATTAAAGGTATTAGATAGTCTTATATTATTTACTAGGGAACAACGTCCGCGCTTCGCGCGAGGATTAATAGATATGTGTTAGGATGTTTTTTATTTTGGATTAATTATATCATTATATTATTTGAGCATATCATTATCTTTCATTTGAAATGATGATACATAATGAAACTTATCAAATTTAGTATCTATTTAATGTGAATAATACATTCTTAAATGAATAAATCAGAATATATACTCTATTAAAAAAAATACTTTATTTTCATTGCTAAAATATATAAATACATCAACAACGGCCTATCATTCTTTATTGATTGATGTTTGTAGAATATATTCTCTAATCATAATTTATTTCAGCTCCCTATTACATAGAAGCCAATACATGAAAAATGTCATGCCATTCTTTGTTTGTTTTATCTTGTGAAACTCCTCTGTATATATATTTTTTCAATTGCTCTTGTTCCTTTCTGAAATATGCAATTCGCTCTTGCATAATATTTTCATACATCACTTTAACCGATTTTCTTGATTGTTCAGTTGTATCTGTATTCAAAAATAAATGTTTAGAAGAACAATTTAATATAGTCATGAATATTATTATTAATATTTTACCTTGACAATTCTCTGAACTAATTATTTGGGACCCTTATATTTTTTATCCATTGTAGTACTTCTCTATAAGTATTTGTCAAAGTCAAACTAAGGATAGAGTATTGCAATAAATAGTAAGTTCCATATAATAATATTGAATATTGAAAAACTAACCTCAATTAACCACTATGAGCCGATGGTGACTATGAAGATAAATGGTGTGTGTGGATGTTTATTATTTTGTTTGTGGTATTTATACCTCTTTTTTTTTCATTTATACGTTGTGCTACTATTTAATTGTATGAATTAATTTGGATTGGTTAAATGTTTGTGTAAAGGTAAGTGTGAAGTTTTTGTAAATAATTGGAGGAAAGTTGGGAATTCATATTATTTTTTATTTATTTATTATGAAAGCTATGGTATGAATTTATTATGGAGATATATACAGATAAGTTTTCACATTGATCATGTAGGTCAATGTGAATATTTTGAAATTAAAAAATAAGTGTATTTTACAACTTTTTCCATTGGTTGTGATCTCCATTTAATTCTTTTAAATAATGAGATTATTTATGAAATTGTTAAATCTTGATGTAAAGATAAGTGTAAGACATTTTGAGAAAGAATAGGCAGAAAGGTTGAATTTTGTATTTTTTATTTATTTATTCTGGTAAAGCTGTAGAGAGTATCGCGAGAGAGCTTGAGAGTCTCTCCCAGAGGGTAAAATATGAGGTACGCACTTGCTTGTGTTAGTGATTTGATATATAAATAAAGGGAAAGGTGGACATAAATTGCTTAGTATGGTGTTATTGTATAAAAAAGTAATCCACACATATTAGACCATGGTATGGCGTTACATAAATCTTGGGATTTAAAAGATTTTTATAAATTTAATTAAAAATACTACTAAGATTTTCAATGATATCCCTGGATGTAATTTAACTTCAAGCACTCATCCATGAAAACACCAACGACATGAACATGAAAGAAATAATTAAATGTTGATATCATTATTTTAAAATTATAACTGAAGCTTGATGTCTCAATTTAAAAATATATATATTTAAAATATCTTCTTTTTTTTTATCTCTCCTCATCATTGCTATTACAATTTATCACATTTTCTACCTTCTATTTTTATAATTCTTAATTTTTTTTTAT